TCTATCTATCTATCTATCTATCTATCTATCTATCTATCTATCTATCTATCTATCTATCTATCCATCTAATCTTTCATCTATCTATAGATCAGTGGTTCTCAACCTTCCTAATGCTGGGACCCTTTAATACAGTTCTTCATGTTGTGGTGACCCCTACAACCACAAAACTCTTTTCGTTGCTACTTCATAAGTGTAATTTTGCTACTGTTATGAATCGGGTGACCCCTGTGAAAGGGGTTGAGAACCACTGCTCTAGATAGTTGTAGATCTAGATATCCATACATGTTCACCTGACTGTTGACAACATACCACATAACAATAGGCCAGCTTAATTAACAGCAAACAATGACATGTAGAAACTAGAATATTCTACTCTTGATTGCTCATTAATTAACTAGTTCATGAATCGATTAAATGTTTATTGAGCAGTATCTCTATCCCAGTCTCAGGCCCTGTGTCAGTACCAGAGATACAATAGTAACTATGACAGATAAGTCTTCACAGGCTACCCAGCAGTCCGAGATGAAAGCTAACTTGAAGAAAATTGTTCAGTAGAAGAGTCTTTGATAATGAGCTTCTTCCTGACAACGCAGAAGCCTATAGTGAGCACAGAGTCAAAACGCAGATAGTAAGTGACCGTGTGGTTTGAACTGGATCAGGAAGAACAATCGGGGCACACATGTCCCTATGCCTTCAGACACCAGTCTTCCCTCTTTTCTGCTCTCCTGCTCTTTCTAGCTTAGCGTGCTATCAAATGAAAATGCTGCTCTATGTCCTTAATCATCTGTTAGTAATTGGCTGGCACCTTTTTAAAAAACAGATCATCGATGCTCTATTTCGGGAGGACCCTAGAACTGAGAGCTTGTCCACCCAGAGAGTGAGGGCTCAGGATTGAGGGGAAAAGATCAGAAAAGGGTGCTTGCAGAACACATTGGCAAGTCTCGTGCTGTGGTCATTTTTTGCATAGCATCAGTGAAATGGCTGGTTGCCAGGTTCCAAGCCTGGGAAATGCTGTTGTTTGGGGAAGTATTCCATGTGTCTCAGTGGTTATTGGCCTTTATCCAGGGTCTGCTGTGAAGGACAAGGGACTTTGCATTATCAAGAAAGAGGCTGGCAAGAAATCTGTAAAGTGACAAGTTGGGGGTTAAAGGCAATAAGCTGAGATGGATGCAACTCAGGCTCTTCCTTGGGGCTATGATACTGCCATTACATAAAATAATTGAGGAGGAAGCCAGAGGCCATCCTGCCCAGACTTGCATTTTGAAAAGCATTAGGCGGTAATCGTTATGTTCAACCTACAGGACTTGCATTAAACCGAAAAACAAACTGTCATGAGTCCATTCCAATGCAGAGCAGACCTTGTGGGACAGAGTGGAACTGCTCCATGCGATGACCAAGGCTGACATCTGCACAGACACCAGCAGATCTTTCCCCTGTGGGGCATCGGGTAGGTTTTACCCCCATCTTTCAGTTTGCAGCCATGTGCTTCAACTACTGCGGCATCATTAGTATCCCCCCTTTTGTCCCTCCTGTCTGCATTGGTACTTACCCAGCATTGGTCCTTAGTAACAGAGTAAGAGATCGGGTGCTTCTAACCCAAACCAGCTACCTGCAACTTATTAACACCCGACTTATTAGCATCCCATTTTGTACCAGCTCTCTATTTCCTCTGAGCCCTCTCTAATTGTTGCCTCCCCAGTGCCCATCAGTACCGCCCTTCCACCCATTTCTCCACACATCTGTCTCACTTCAGAGGCCGGTCAAGCTGAGGAACTCTCTAAATCAACCTAACTTTAATTTCTTTCTTTTCTAAAGGTTCTAATGAGATCTAGTGGTCAGAGGCTGGCTGCTAATAAAAAATTGCTGGTTTCGAGTCCTCAGCCGCTCCCTGGGATAAAGAGGTGGCAGTTTGCTTCATTAGGGATGACCGCTTCGGCCACCTTATGGGGAAATTCTGCTCTGTCCTATCGGTCGCTATGGTTGGGAATCAATTCCGTAGCAGTGCGTTTGGTAAGACCGACTCTACTTTAAAATGACCACAGCTCACTGCATTCCATCTCAAGCACTCATTCTGCATTTGCACACATATCCATTATTGCTTGCTTCTGTTCCAACATCTGGCCAATGGAGTCAGAAATCTGTATTTCCCATGAATTCGCTTAAACTTTGGATTTTTATTTCAGGAAGCATACTTGAAAACAAACAAACAAACAAAAAAACCTTTCCCCCAAATCCATGGAAAGAACTGAGCATTGTCCAATTGCTGAAAATAATTACATCAGTCATGGAGAATCCTGGGGACCGGCACATGGCAAAAACAAAACAGGAAAAGCAAAATGCAACAACGTATCTGGGATTATAACCCACTCAGAACCCCACTGTTGCCAAGTGGTTTCCAACTTAAAATGACCCTCCTGTACAGAAACACAGTGCTGCACCTTTCTCCTGTGGTGCGTTTGATGGGTTCAAAGCACTGACCTTGTGATTAGCAGCCCATAATTATACCTGCGAAAAATGATGTGCCCTTTGGACATGCCAGGGAAGAAATGAGAACACCTGATCTCCTACTAGAGTGGAATAATTATGGGTGCAATTTCTTCTTCTTTTTTCTTCTTAAATCATTTTATTAGGGGCTCATACAATTCTTATCACAATCCATACATACATCAACTGTGTAAAGCACATTCATACATTCATTGCCCTCATCATTCTCAAAACATTTGCTCTCCACTTAAGCCCCCAGCATCAGCTCCTCATTCTCTCCCCTCGCTCCCCCCTCCCTCCTAACCTCATGAACCCTTGATGATTTATAAATTATTATTTTGTCATATCTTGCACTGTCTGACGTCTCTCTTCACCCACTTTTCTATTGTCCATCCCCCAGGGAGTAAATTATATGTAGATCCTTGTAATTA